TCACTGCAGGGCTGGCTTTGTGACTGCAGGGCTGGCCCTGTGACTGCAGGGCTGGCCCTGTGACTGCAGGGCTGGCCCTGTGACTGCAGGGCTGGCCCTGTGGTTGCGGGCTGGCACTGTGGTTGCGGGCTGGCACTGTGGTTGTAGGGCTGGCCCCGTGGTTGTAGGGCTGGCTTTGTGGTTGTAGGGCTGGCCCTATGGGCAGACATGCCAGCCTTGCGGGGGCAGGGCCAGCTTTGGAGCGCAAGTCGCGCCTACTGCAGTACGACCTCGTGCGGTCGATTCTCGGGTCGATTGTGCCGCACCAGCAGAGATATCACACCTGCATGTCCGGCCTGTTGCGAGTCAGCAGAGAACAGCCGCATACTGATCTGGTCTGTGACATGGGCTTGGCGAACGAGCACTCATGTAGACAAGACGTGGAAGGTGTGTGCCATGCCCTAGCTGCCGTGGCAGTCAGCCAACTGTTGTTGCCTTGCTCTCACCGCGGTGACGGAGAAACGTGAAAACCGATCAATTCTCACATTCTGACGTCGCCGAGGAGGAATTCAACAACAACAGTCGGGCACCACTGTCCCCTCGCCCACTCAAGGCTCATCACAGTCATTTATGTACAGTCCAAAGAGCCCCGCGACAATATCCATACAAGCATGTTGGCCGGACTGCCTCCGATCTCCCTCTCTTCACTCGACAACAACATCAAGTGTTGACACCCACAGCATACAACGAATGCAGGTGCGCACGAAGGCTACCTTACAACTGTCGCTTGCTGCTGCGGCTTCGGTACTCTCGGTGAGCTCTCGCCAACGGCATCCGGCACATCACCAGATCCAACGGACACAGCCGAGGCAGCGTCATGCTCGATGGCCAGCACACCGTCTCCACTGTCTTGCGAACGAAAAGGGAGCGTCTCACGCTCCAGATACAAAGCCCTGTTGACAACCTACCACACAGAGATCACACCTGAGTGAGCCTTGGCCCATCACATACGTACACGTGGCAACGCACCTTGGGATTATCAAGGCATGCGACGATTGCCGCGGCGACGTCCTCCTTGCTGACCGATGACACCGTACGCTTGTCACCCGACGGCCTTGCTCGCGTCACGAGCCTGCCCGGCTGTGCTGCAGAGGGCGACGTTTGTGTCTCTTCTGCCGACTCATCCCCGAAATCAGGGACACGCAGAGAGCAGAAGGGCACCGCTGACCTGATAGACGCACCCATAATGGCACTTGTGTGTGGGTATGTGTGTTGGCTTGTGTTGTTTTGTGTTGTGTGGCTGACAGCTGCACGGTTCGCTCTCTGTGAGCTGCCTGGAAAGCCAGCCTGTGGGTGTCGAACAGGGGGTCGTTTGGGTTGCCCATCACGCTCTCAAAACGAGACCTGACACACGAAAGCACACAGTTACTTGCCTATGCAGCAAGGGCCAGCGAATATCGGCCGTCTCACCCACCTGAGGAAGTTCCACTGTGTCCTGTCGACGACAGGCGGCAGGGCAGACGACGAAACAAACAGCAACTCAGGCGCAGTCTGCTCGCGATACGCCTCAATGCCCTACATACACGAGACACACGTATCCACATGTGCGTCCGTTGCCCACTTGGCCCCACCTGACCTGTATCCTTGCTCCGAATTCCTCCTCGAATCCCTCCCTTGTGCGCCTGAAGACGATGCCCAGCTGCACGATGTCGCTGCGGTCGAACAGCACAGCACCAGACGGGTTGTCGGACACGCTCATCAAAGGAACGCCATTCACGTGCGGCAGGAAGGAAGAGAATGGCACCAGGGTCTGCGAGAAGACAGTCGTCATGTGCGTACGTGTGGTTGTGTGTGTGATTTCCTGACCTTGGTGATCTTGTTGGGTGCGTCGATGTCGGCTTCGAACTGAATGCCATCCTGCCAATACGACTGAGTGCGGATGACCTGGGTGACAGACACAGGGGATCGACAGACAGACGGACAGACTTGCATTTCTATCTACAGATCGGCCAGGGTGGTGCTCTGGGTGGGTGGGTGTATGCGTATTATACCAGTTTGTATTTGGGCCTTCCCTTGTCTCGCAGCCACCGGATCATCAGACCGCCGTAGCAATCCAAACTGACACACACATACCCATAGACATACATATGGATGGCTCTCAATGACGGAGGTCGGCAACCAGCCTTACTTCATGGTGAGGGGGACCGACATGAGCGATATCTCATTCTGGGGATACCTGCACACACGCACACACACACACACACACTCACACATGCTCACGGTGTGTATGCTTATTCAATAGAGCGCCTTTCTCTGCTCACATGATGTTGCCGAAGAACTTTGCGTCCCTCCCAGCGAATGTGTTGTCCTTGTCTGCCCCGGCCTTCAGATCCTGACCACGGAAGAAGCGAGTCTCGCACCACGCAGCCGAGGCCTGATCGACCCACAATGGCAAGAGTACGGAAGCGTCGATGTGTGTGTGTGTGTGTGCATCTCGTGATTGCTTACGCCTTCCTGTCGGTCTTTGGGCCAGTTCGGCCTCAGTAGCCCCCGCTCCTCGATCGACAGCAGAGTGCGATCGAAAGACTGCACACACACACACACGGACAGATAATGGCTGTCAGAGTGAGTACACATGTGGCGCATGGAGCCCACCTGTCTAAAGTCGAGCAGCGTCTGTCTATATCTGTCCTTGGCCGAATAGTTGAGGGCCACCAACACGTTGAGCAGTGCTGCCCAATCAGACGTCTGGAAGGGACGCGGCACGCTGTCCTTCAAAAGCTGAGCAACGAACCAGCCACACATCGATAAGAAACACCGATGGGTTCGAGTGTCTGTCTATTGTCCGTACCTCTCCAGTCTCCAGGAAGACCACCTTGTCGGCGCCCCTCACGGCGTCAAACACAGACAGCAAGTCGCTGTACTCACCCTGACCAACCATCACACAGCAAACACACGCGTAAGCATGCACTCTCTCTGCGAGTCCGCTTCTCCCCTTTCGTACCACAAAGTACTGCACGTCATCTCCCAGTGCCGCCCTGGCCTCTGCCATGAGCTCGCTGCTCACGTACACGCGAACTCGATAGCCTCGCGACAACAGCAGGCGGACCAACGCTCTGCCAGTCGGACCTGCAACACCCACAGGACAGGCACACATCAGTGTTCCGTACATCCAGGCAGATGTCCATTCATGTGTCGTTCCTTCCTCTCTCGCTCACTTGTGGCGCCGAGCACGAGCACATCGAGAGGTTTCGGTGACGGTGGCGCCTCTGCCTTCTCCGTGGGCAGTTCCTCCACAGGCTGGCCCTTGACCTGCTGAAAGGCCGAGCCCTTGGCGGGCGAGCTGTCGCCGAACAGCTGGTTGAAGAGACTGAACGCCTGCTGGAACACACCCTCATTCTTGGGCGCCGCAGACTCGCCCGACGATGATTCGTTCTGATGGAAACACATAACCACACATGCAGATCTGTCGTGCACGTGCTTGCAGATGCGCTTCGTACCTTCATCTCTGCAGATGCGACGGCAGATCTCCCTTGGTTGCGTCGAAATGGCCTCCTCTGCGGTGTGCTTTCGCTGCTGAAGCGGCCGGAAGGCTGCAGGATGAAGCCGCCGGCGAGGCAGCACAGGCAGGTTGCGAGCAGGAGGGTCAGCTGGAGTCTCCTTCTGCTTCGCGACGCCACACACGCCATGCCCATCGACTCCATTTCAGGCGACTGACAGCAGATCTCAAATCAAATCCATCGAGCTACAAAGCGCCTGCTGTTCGTGGGATGGAGGTGAATCACTGTAGCTCGCATGTGGAGTCAGTGACCAGGGCCGGCGCAGAGTGGCAGGATGCGGATAGACTGATGAACGTTGATCTTGATTCATCCACTTGCTGTCCGCTGCACGGAGTGGCGCTCCTGGCATGCGACGACATAAGCTGCACTGCAAGCCGTTCAAGGCCCTCAGTGCAGCTCACCCCGCCTTTGGCCATGAAGATCCACTCACTCCACCGGCACAACGCAGTATGACACACCAACCATCGCTCTCATGACTGTCACTTATCAAAATGCAGGCAGATGGACAGACATCTCTCTAATTAAGTGATGCCATCGAATCACAACTCCCTCTCTCTCCCCCTCGCTGTGCGTCTGTCATTGTGGCGGAATGGTGAAGAGGCTCTCCAGCTGCCGCACAGTGTCGTCGGGATTCACAACAGTATGGCCCTGCAGACAGTGAAACTCACGCTGTAATGCTGGCTGACGGGTGTGCATCATATGCTCACGATGGTGCGTGGGTCCTCATAGATCTCGTGATCGTTGCCGCCCTGAACACAGACATGCACACACAGCTGTCCGTGTCAGTACGTAGTCTACGACGCGCGCTCACCGGTCCTGTTTTGTCGCCAAAGAAGTGAATTTCTGGGAATGCACCGAGGAACTGGAGGCAGAACGTCTTGTCCCATCCCTTGGGGAAGCAGTCGACGCTGATCTGCCCGCCGATGGAGAACTGCAGCCCGTAGTCGGCGAAGTTGGATTCCAAAGCCTCGACGAACTTCTTACGGACACCGTGCTCCTGATGAGAGAGGGGAAAGGGCACATATACATATCAGTGACCACCACCCATTGGTGTTGTATGGACTGGCGAGCGACTGTCTTTCTTGCCTGGTCGTATTTGTTGAACGTGAGTCTCTCGTCGTAAGAGCAGTTGCGGCCGATGGGTGAGAAGTTGAGCATGCCCGTCCGGTACTCGATGAACGTACCCCTGGCCAATACACACACACACACATACACACACGTGGTGACGTGTGGTAGTTCGTCTGTGAGCTGACCTCTTGATGGGTATGTCGAGGTCGGCGAAGTACCTGAGGACGAAGTTGACCAGCCGCTTCAGCTTCTCCTCACCCAGGTGAACCGAGATGCTCTGATACACACACACACGTACACCACGTGCAGAGATGATCTGCCTGACGGTAGTGTTTGCGTCCTCTGTCTGTCCGTGCCTGCGATCCGATGATTTCGCCATCCTTGTACGCGACCACTCCATTCTCGACAAACATGTAGTCACACAACTCGTGACCTGAGTGTAGCCCAGACAGTGATTTGATCAGATCTGCTAGCCGTGCCTTAAGCTACACGACGTGCTTACTGTTGGTGCCGAACTGTTCCTGCACCTTCTTGAGGTCGGATCCGCTGACGATGCCCACCTTGACTACCTTGCGCAAACGCTGCAGAAACTCCACCATCTCGGGAGTCGCACTCTGAACACACACAACGCGCACACACAGGCACACAGACACGCTCGACTCGAAGCAGGCGTGTGATGGTGTGTCTGAAGCAGCGGATCTGTGTGTGTGTGTGTGTGGACGTACCTTTCGCGCTTCTGCGATTGTGCCATCGAGATCAAACAGAGCAATGCGACCTGCCGTCATCTTGCCGTCAGGCTCAACCATCCGCTTGAGGGATTGGAGGGGAGGAAGCTCGCAACAAAATTTACGCACTGTCATCGGGCGACAAGCGATTGTTTTGTCTGTCTGATGCGATTGTCAGTCATGCAATAACACACGCTCACACGACGCTGCACAAAGACAGGAGCAAGGACTCACTCTATCGTCTCCACCACGGGAAAACGGGGCGGAAGGACATAATCGTAATCCATCACACCACTTAAACGCTGCTGGCTGCCCCACACGCACACGTACACGCACATGCAATTCAGATAAACACCCACCCATTTCATCTATCTATCGCATCTCTCTCATCCTTTGCATGTATGTCTGCTGCGATATATGCTGCGATGATAAGGACGTAGACATTTCATCACAGCTGCAACGGCCACATGGCATGGAAGGAAGGACACTTCGGCAGGCCTCTTGAAACACACACACAGAGACCGAGAAGCGGTGACTGGGGAAAACTCGGGCAGAGTGAAAAAAGACACCGCCCGTATGCCCCTCGCTGATGGGCTGACTGATTCACTCACTCAGTGACCTCCATCTACACCTCTACACTACACAGACTTGACAAAGGTGCCATCAGCTCACTCACTCAGTCGTCAATCGCCCTCTCGCCTTTCCCCCTGCCCAGCTGCCTCTCTCCGTATGTCTACCCACTGTGAGTATGCAAGTCTGCATGGATGTGTGCATCTGTGCGTGAGTGCATCCATCACTCAGTCTCCTCCTCCTCCTTCATGGTGTCCATCGCTTTGAAGGCCCCCAAGCAGTCCACAAGACCCGAACCAGTGGCCAAGTCCTCACCCTCAACTGCACACACGCAGACACAGACACAGACACGAACGAAGTGGCGGCATGATACATGCGTCTGTCGACTCGGTACGGACCGTCCATATCGACGGCGGTGTCCTTGAGGATCTGCTTGACGGCGGCAGGAGTCAGGTTGGGATTCTGCTCGAGCATCAGGGCCACGCAGCCAGAGATGTGGGGCGCCGCGGCAGACGTCCCGAAGAAGTTCGGGTCGGCGTCTTCGTCCTTCTCGCTGTCGCTATAGAAGCTGGCCGTATTGCCACCTGCAGACACCAAGGGGAGCCAAGCCGCCGGCATTCATGTCGTCACTTCGTGTTGTGGCAAGCTCACCGTCGATGCCAACCATATCGGGCTTGACAAGTTTCACCTCCTCGATGGCTCCGCCGGCGTCGTCGAAGAGAAGGGGGATGTAGCCGACCGAGGAAAACTCCTCCTTCTCAGGTTTCTCCAGGTCCCCGTCGAAGTAGTTCGTGTTCTGCGCACACAGGCGCACCAGAAGAGGCAGTCGATTGTACTGGTTGCTCATCTATCTGACGTGTTTGTCTGACCTGCCAGAATGCTGCACCGGCAGAAATGGCGCCCTCGGCATTGCAGTGGCCTGGGGACACAACACACCCATCCCCACATCATGTGCACACAGGAGATGGTTTCGCGGCCATCCATCCGTTAGTTAGGTCGACATGCTCCATTCGCCCGCCTCTCACCGTAGATGGTGGCCCCTCCTTTGTTGCAGCACTCATTCTTGACCTTGGCGCCATCGATGACGGCCGCAACATACTGGGGGTCTGGGTCGTCGTTGGTTTCCTTTTGCAACCTTCTGGAGTCTCCCCTGGCATCACCACTGCCAACCCACTTGAGGATCGCTAGGTAGACAGTCTCATTCTCCATGTTCTCATTCTGCAGGCATGAAGGCAAGACAGCACGCACTCATGTGGTGCGAATCGAAGGGCGAATGTGGATGGCGCATACGTAATACTCAAACATCTCCATCGCGTCGCCGTCCGCGTTGATGGTGTTGCTTCCGCCGACGATTTCCCACTCCGCCGCCTCACCCTCCTGATTGTCCTCCTGCTTTGCCTTTTGGAGCAGGTACATATCCAAATCACTATCCGCACCTTTGCCTCCAGCAGACTGCCACACAAAGATGCATGTGTACCCCCCTCCCTCTCTGTGTGTGTGCGTGTGTGTGTCGTTGACTGACCGCGCTGGGGGATGCCCAGTTCATGATCATGAGCACGCCCATGCCGCCTTCGACCTCCAGCTCCAACAGGCTCTCGCAGTTCTTGCCTTTCCCCGAGAAACAGTGCATCTCGTACGTCTCGCTGCATATATCGCATCAGGACAAAGCCACCACCGACCCGACCCATGTTTGTATGTGTACACCGGCGGCTGCTACGTGTGATGTAATCTGTCTCACTTTTGCAGGACCATCTCTTCGCCGCTGTTGGTGAAGTTGGCAAAGTACCCGGCATTGCCCCAGTTGCCTGCGGCCGACAGGTAAGTGCTGCCCTTGGCGACCACGTCCTCGGCGGCTTGAGCAATTATACCATGCTGGAACATCGGCTCTGCCATTACAGCACCACAAGACACAACAGACAGGCCGACCCATGTCAGCAGGTATCCAGTTCAGAAGGAGAGTGATCATCTGTTTGCGTACCAGCGAAGTAGATAACATCGTCCACAATGACTTTACAGCCGACCTTGTGCAGCTCTCCGATGTTTGCAGCGAAGCCCGCCTCACCGTCGAAGGCAGTCGCGAAGGCAAGCTTGGAGCCGGGGGCTATGTCGTGAACGATCTCCATCATCCCCCCACCCTGCATATAAGGGGCGTAGAAGGAGCACACTCGTGTTTGCATCATGTGAGCGTGGTGTCCAGCGTCTTGTCTCTCACCTCATCACTGCCCATAGCCTGATCTTGGATGACCTCCACTCCTTCCTTCGGCAGGTCGTTCTGCTTTATCAGCTTGTCGGCAACGCCGGTGGCGTTGTAGGAGTCAGAGAGCACGCCCACCTTCACGCCCGAGCCGTTCACGGCATACTGGTTCCTGACCTCCGACGTGTAAGAGGCGTCGTCGCCCTCGGTCGTCACAGTACCCACCAGCTTGCGCACGGGCGGCACAGGCAGGGGAGGGGCTTCCAAGCCCAGACGCTCGGCCCTCTTCTGCTTTGCGGCCATCCTCCTCCTGAGCATACCCGACCTCGTGTCCATTCGGGAAGCCCTCACCAGCAGCACCTGGGGCACCTTGGCCACCTGCAGGATGGCCTCGTAGGGCAAAAAGCCGCTCCTCAAGTGCTTGTGGCTCTTCAGGTCGCTGAGGCCGAGGGAAGCGAAGTCGGCCTGCAGCGCCTCGGCGGACGTGTCGGCGTTTTGCGGGTTGAGGACGATGTCGACGAGGATCTTCTCCTTGGTCACGCGGGTCCGCGTGCGCTCAGCAAACTGCTTGAGGCCCTTCTCGGACATGAAGAAGTCGCGGAAGGGCTCGAAGGTCTTGAGGATGCCCCGGTCGCTCTGTGCGGTGTCCTGGCCCTTCTGGCGCTTCTGGAAGCCGTCATAGAGCAGATGCACCTGGTAGAGGAGGGTGTCCAGCCCCTGAGGGGGGCGCCGCAAGTCCAGAGGCATCGACACTCTGTCCATGGGCTGGAGCATCGGCCTTGCACCTATGACACGACAAATACCACAGACAAAGACAGCAATGGTGAGCGGTGGGTCTCCGTGCACCGCCCCGCCGGCCCAACGGTCGCTGACCATCCTCTTCGCCCTTGGCCTCATGGTCGCCGGAGCGCTTCTTGCCGGCGCCCGATTGCTTCCCCTCGCTCTCTGCTCACCACACACCATACACACACACACACACACCGGCCGGCAATACCTTGTGTCGCGCTCTGGCATTGTTCTCCCCGCCCCCCCTCGCTCTGCTTACTCTTGCTGTCCGCTCTGAAGGAGTCGGCGCTGGCGAAGCAGACACCAAGGGCGAGGAACACCGCAGCCAACGGCCCTGCTCTCATCTTGCTTCTCGGTAGAGAGGGCGCCGCCTGCTGCCTATGTAAAGCTGTACAGCTTCAACCTTGTCCTTGGCTGAGTCTGCTCACGAGGATTGGAAAGGGAAAATCCGACAAAAAGCAACGGCCACGTCTTGTGTTTTTTCCCAACGGCTGCGCGCGCCCTATCCCTAACGCCCAGGCTCGCAATTGACACGAAGCTTGAGAGGCTTGTTATAACCGTTGCAGCTGCAGATCTGTGTTGTTTGATTCGCCTGGCGCTATGGTGAGTGCCGAGGATGAGGCAAAGCTCAAGGAGCTCGCCAAGAAAGATCCCGAGCAGGCGAGGAAGCTCAAGAGGGCGCTGGTGAGTGAGCCACACGGCCGACGCGCGCGAGACAGCGGACATGCAGCCAGAACATGTGATGCCTTTCGTGTCGGCTGTGCGTGTGTTGGTATGGTCGGTCAGAAAAAGAAGAGGAGCAAGGAGAAGGCGAAGCAGGAGAGCAAGGTGGTCAAGCAGGAGGAAGAGGAGGACGAGAAACCGGCGGTCAACGGCGCGGTAGAGGAAGCAACTCAGCAGGAGGTCAGTCGGTGTGATGGAGGGAGCATGTGTCGACCTGCGTGTTTTACCTTCTCTCTCGGTTGTGTTCAGGAGGTTGATCGCGAGGACGATGTCGAGATCGAATACGTCGCGCAGCGTAGGACACGCAAACAACTGACTGACAGCCAAGCGCTGTGGCATGTGTCTGTCTGTGTGGGTGCAGCTTTGGAGGATCCCGAGTTCGAGGAGTTCAAGGAGGTCTTCGAGAAGTTCAAGATTGTCGAAAAGGACGAAACGGTCAGCAGCAACTGCACATCTTGGGAGACACCCGCACACCATCACTGTGTGTGCCTTGTCGTCTGTCATGTCAGGGTGGCGATGAGGAGGGCGAGGAGGGCGACCAGTTGGCCGAGGGCAAGTCGAAACTCGCCACGGGCGACGAGGAGGACGAGGATGAAGACGAAGATGTGAGCGCTGGAGGGGGGATGGTGGATGGGTGGGAGTATCTTGACATGGACGTGTGCGTGTCTGCGTATTATGTAGGCTGAGAACCAGAAGATGTCTAAGAAGCAGCTCAAGGCGCTGAAGCGACCGTCCGTCTCGGCACTCAAACAAGTACAATGGGCAGACACACCAACCACCAGCGCCACCCAAGCAACCAACACGCGTCTTCTCCCCTCTGTGTGTGGTCCGTGCGTGTCTGTCAGACCACCCACCGTCCCGAGGTGGTGGAGTTCTGGGACACCACGTCCCCCGATCCCCGGCTGCTGGTCTTCCTCAAATCGCTTCGCAACACCATCGAGGTGCCGCGCCACTGGAGCCAGAAGCGCAAGTACATGGCCGGCAAGAAGGGCGTCGAGAAAAACCACTACGAGCTGCCCCAGTGGCTCGAGTTCACTGGCATCGCTAAGATACGAGAGGTGCCCACAGCAGGGACGGACGGGGATCTGTGTGGTTCGTGTGTGTATGTTCACCTTCTATTGTGTGATATGTTGCAGGCGTTGTTGGAGAAGGAGGCGCAGAAGTCGGCCAAGCAGAAGCAGAGGGAAAAGGCGCGGCCCAAGGCCTCCAACAAGATCAACATCGACTACCAGGCGCTCCAGACGGCCTTCTTCAAACTCGCCACCAAAGACAAACCCAAAATGACCAGATTCGGAGACCTGTAAGACACACTGCACAGCACAGCACAGCAAACTGAGACACACACACACGCACACACACGCGAGCACGCACACACACACACGAGATAACATGGTCACCTTTATGGCTGTATCAGGTACTTCGAGGGCAAGGAGTACGAGGCCAAGATGAAGCACTTCAAGCCCGGAATCCTCACAGACAAGATCAAGGTGAGACCAAACCACCACCCAGTCCCCCCCCTCATGCATCGACACACCCATCACCTGTCTGTGTGTGTCTTTGGTGGGTACCTGCCATGCAGGCGGCATTGGCCATGCCAGAGGGCGCCCCTCCTCCCTGGCTGATCAACATGCAGCGTTACGGCCCACCCCCCTCCTACCCCAAGCTCAAGATTCCCGGCCTCAACGCGCCCATCCCGCCTGGCGCCAGCTACGGATACCACCCCGGCGGATGGGGCAAACCACCCGTCGACGAGGTCAGTCTCCGCCGGAAGCAAATTTATTTCTTGTCGGAGGTGTATGGAACCTCTGTGTGCGTGTGATGTGTTCAGTATGGGAATCCGGTCTATGGTGACTACCGCGCAGAGGCGGCCTACCAAGAGGAGGAACAGGCGGCCGGCGCCCTGTGGGGCGAGCCGGAGCAGCAGGAAATGGAGTTTGAAGAAGGTAGGCAGGCCAAAACACCACACAAGCCACGCCACATCTCTGTCGCCACCGTGTGCGTGTGTTGTCCGCCCTTCGTCATCAGAGGAGGAAGAAGAGGAAGAGGAGCAGCAGGAGGGCGCGGGCGGCACAGACACTCCGGCCGTAGGCATACTCACTGACACACACACGAACAACAGACAGACAAGGGGGCATTCTGGACATATATATTGTGTGTATGTCTGTTTCTGTCAGAGTGCTGCACCTGGCACTGAGACGCCCATGTTGGACCCGACGGGCATGGCGAGTGTGGGGGGCATGCGATCCGTCGGCGCGTCATCCGTCACCTCTGGCCTCGAAACACCCGAATCGGTCGATATCAGGAAAAAGTAAGGATGTGGGGTGGGCGGACCACAAACACTGACGAACACAAGTGCACGTGATGCTGTCGGGCTGGCTGGCTGTGTGTGTTTGATCCTCAGGGGCATTGCGTCCATGGGTGGCTATGCTTCGTCATCCATAGCGTCGATGGGCCCCAAGCCGTACCAAATCCTCAGAGAGGCCAAGGCACCCGCACAGGTGGGTCAACAGGCCCCCACTCATCGAGCACACCTGCATCCATCTCAATTGTTTCCTTGCTGTGCAGCCCGGCGCCCTCTTCCAATCCACAGTACGCTACGAGATGCCCACTGGACGCCCAGGACAGGTACGACCACGCAGGGGGGCGAGACGCTTCGCATCACTGCACAAACACGCCCTCTTCTACCTGTCTGTGTCAGCCTGGCGGGACGGTCTCTCCGGGCGGCACATCGACGCCGGCCATTGGGGGCACTGTGACGCCGTTCGGCGCTCCGGGCGGCGCCCAGACTCCCCTGGCCATATCGGGGCCGCCGAGGCCAGGGGGCGCTGAGACACCGGGCGCTGGCGGCATGACCATGAGCCTCAATCCCACCGATCTGGGTCAGTGAGAGAGAAGGGAAGGAAAGGTCTCGTCAATTCGAACGTGGATTGGTCTTCATCGTCTGGCGTATGTGTGTGGTCGCACAGAGCAAGAGGGTGTCTTCGCGGCTGATGTCATCCGGAAGCAGCTCAAGGAGCAGGAGGAGGCGGCCATGAAGGCCACCAAAGGCGCCGGGCAAATTGACGTCAATGAACGTACGACACTGGCACGATACGTACACACACGGACACTCGGATAGCATCACACACACACACACACGCGCGCGCATTGCCTTTCTGTCCTTTCAGTCAAGAAGCGCAAGGCGCCTTCGAGCGGCACGGTGAGCGCTGGTGGCGAGGCAAGTGTGGAAAAGAAGAAGAAGCGCAAGAAGGAAGAAAAGTTCAAGTTTTAACCGCACAACACACATGCATTCATTCATTCATATGGGGCGTCTTGCGGAAGTGAGTGGATGCGGTTATTTGTGAGGGACATCAGTGGTCGTGTGGCTTTATGACAGCTGCAAAGGAAATGGCATGTGTGAAGTTTCTTCAGTGCATCTTTCGCGGCCATTCTGATGAGAAATGGTTGCGGACAGATGTGGTGGAGGACCGTGACACATGCCAGTTCCTTTGCGCTATCGACCCCGCCCTTTGACTGACCATCCCATGTCTGCACATTCGAATGCTGATCCGTTCATCTTGGATGGATGGATGGGTGTCGATTGGTGTTGTGGTTCAAGGAGATGAAGAGACTGCCAAAGCCACAGCCTGCAGAAGCTGCACAAGCGCGACCGACCGCATCTTTCCATCACTCGGCTTAGATCGCGGGCCCCCCTCCGCCCCCAGTCCCGCCGAAAAAATGGCTCATCTGCCGCCAGAGATAACGACATCTACACTCGAGAACAACAATGCAGAGGATGCCGAGCCATTGTCGACCCTTGCCTCTCCTGCAGCGCCGCCCGTCGCTATGTTCGGCGAAGGCGGCCAGTTCAAGAACGGTGTCCGGCTCTCTCTCAGGTCACAGCATGCACACATTCTCGCGCTACAATTCCATCTTCCGGTGACTTTGTCCATCAGGCACGCCATGGGAGTGCTGCCCCACGTGTTCCGCGAGACCATCCTCTTCCACGACGACGAGGTGTTCATCTTTGCCGTCGGCGCCCACCTCGCCATGTACGACACGGCACGCGCCAGCATGTCCTTCATCAGTGCGCGGGAGTCCTACGGCCGAATCATTACTGCAATGGCGAGAGCGCCGAATGGCAAGGTGCTTGCAGTGGCGGACAAAGGCTGCGGTTTGAGTGACGAGAAGGGGGTGCAGGTGGTGATGATCCACCTGGCCACAAACCAGGTGTGGAAGGTGCTGACGGTGCCGCATAGGAAGGTGGACGTGGTCGCCTGCACCTTCACGGGTTGCTCGAGGTACTTCATCTCCCTATCGGGCGCACCGGACTACATCCTCATCTACTGGCGGTGGGAGACAGGCAGGCCGCTGGCTATGCAAGTGAGCAACGAAGATGCCTTGTGGTATATCACGGGATGCACGTCTCTCTTCCTCTGTCAGGAAGTAAAATGCACCACTGACAAGCTGACGGTGAATCCTCGAAGCAATTCTCATCTCGCTATTGGGGGACCGGGCTATCTCCGCATGTGGGGCTACTCTGCGCATGACAAGGTGCTCAAAGAGACAGAAGCCCTATTGCCCACCAGGCAGGAGCGGGATCTTGTGTTCGTCGACCACGCCTGGCTGTCGGCCAAACTACTAGTGGCCGCCACCAGAGACGGCCAGCTCTTCCTCTTCGACCGGACAGAGATCCGCCACCACGTGAACATCAAGCAGCAGCTGGCCGAGAGACTGCAGCCGACAACCACAGATGACCAGCAGGCGGAAGGGCAGTCCGGCACGGCCCTCCGGAGAAAGAAAACCACCACTAGACTGACAACAAAGGCCACGAAGTCCGGCAAGACTCAGGAGAATCTCCTGGCTTTCGTCGCGCGCAGACGGATGACTGGCGAGTCCCAACAGGTGGAAGTTGCAGGTGGCACTGGAGGCCTGGTGGGCCTGGAGCTGGGCGATCTCGAGGAATTGGAGATCATGTGCTGCGCCAAGTGGGGCAAGGGAATAGTAGTCGGTGGCACACGAGGCTACGTAGGTATCTACCACCTGGAGGAAGGCGCGACTGAGGCAGCGACGGGAGGCGACGAGGACGACAAGCAAGGCTCGCCTGAGCTCAGGCTGGAGAGTTTGGGGCACTTCTGCGTGCCCGACGGAGCAAAGAAGGTGGTGCGGCGCTGTGCATGCAGCCCCGATGACGCCATGCTGGTAGGCTGGCGAAAGACATTGGAAGATAACGCGCCCGTGCTTCTCTTAGGTATTGTTGGTCCAAGGCGAGATCGAAGACATGTCTTCTTCTTTTGGCATGGGCCTCACGGACCTGAAAGCAAGGTACGCCCATTCAAAACGCCCACCCGCATACATCATCCTTTCTCGTCCAGTGCCCAGCGCCACGCTTCCGAGACGTCCCCCAGCCGTCGGAGGGTGTCAGGGCTCTCAATCCTCCCATCTGGAGTGAGGCAAGGATGGGAGCTGCTGAGCTTCCCACTCAGCCAGGCGGACTTCATGGCCACACGGGAGCATACTGATGAGTCCCTGAGAGAGATATTCACGCCAGTGTTCCCAGGGGGATTCCACCAGCTGGGGGTGACAGGCATGGAGGCCGCACTGTGGAGGTGCGCACTAATGGGTGGGTGGAAGGGACGGGTCGTTGCACACAGACGGATGGATATTCACGGTATATGCAGGCGATGCATCTTCACGTCATCTGAGGACTTCACCATCCGCGGCTGGAGCTACCCTCTTGTCGAGGAGATGGCGCCTCCCGAGTCGCCATCCAACGCCTCGCCGTCACTGGAACATCCCCTAGGAGCCGACATGATGTCAAGGCGGACCGAGAAGAGTGGCCCAGAGTATGAGTGTACCTTCTGCCACCAATTCACCGAGTACGACAAGCCACTGGCCCTTACTGTGCATCCATTCGGTGGGTGGGAAAAGAAAATGGGCAGAGAGGTAGCAGACACATCGATGTGTGTGCGCAGGCCTTCAGGTGGCAGTTTGTTTCGACGACCGCCTCCGGATATACCATCAGAGTGAAGAGCCGCGCCTGAGGACGGGGATGGACCTCACCATCAAGGCGCCAAATGCTGCCACTTTCTCACACAAAGGGGACCTGATCGCACTGGCATCTCAGACACTCGTACGTACGCACCTATGGCCTCGCTGTCTCCCAATCGTCAGTCTGCATCCTTTTCTCGTGTCTCAGGTGATTGTGCTTGACGCCATCCGTGGTGTGGTGCTGCACACGCTCTCGGCCCATGTGGCAGCCGTGCAGCAGATCATCTTCTCCTATGACGACCGCCTCTTCCTCTCCTGTGGTGCCGATGGTGCTGTCTACGGCTGGCGAGTCGACGGAGGTCATCGCGTGTTCGAACACGTCAGCAAGAACAACATCTACACCTGCATCGCACACGACCTGCAAACGTGAGCAGATGAAAGACGTCACAGTCCCATATGCATGCCCCTCCCATGGATGCGGGGCGTGTCTCTCTTAGCGAGTCAGTGGCTGCGGCGACGCGCGAAGGGCACTTGCGCATGATCACCCAGGGGGGCCACCAGATAGCCGTCGACACCGAACCCACACGAGGGCAGACCTCCCACGGCCATGCCGCCTCCTCCACCTCCGCAAGGCACAGGGGATCGATTGACGCGACGGCGTCGCCATCACGGAAGATATCGCAGCCCGGCAAGACGCCAACTACGACTGCAGGGTAGAGAGACGACACAGATGAATGTACGGATATCGCGCGGTGTGTGATGGCTCACTCAGCGTGGGTTACGCGTGGTCGTCCCTACCAATCTACTACACGCAGCTGCTGCTTGCCCCTCCGCTCGCCGCTTTGTTTGGCGGCACATCGCACGGCACCATTCGCTCGTTCGTGTGGCCTTTCAAGCCCAACACGCTACCGGACTTCCTTGAGTTCCCGCTGCACGCTGCACCGGTGACCAAGCTGGCGACCAGCAGTGAATGGACACTACTCTTCTCAGCCTGCGAAGGTGAGCGAGGGAAGCAGAGATCTCCACGGGCTTACATAGGGGTGCCTGCCCGTGTCTCTGTGTCTTGTCCAGACGGCGCTCTGATCGTGAGTGCCATCGAGGTGGTCAAAGGAGGTCAACTCCAGCCTCTCAGGGCGATCCAGACGAAGGAGGACTTTCTCAACTACTGCTTCCGCATCACCAGGGGCAGCCCCGTAGCAGCAGCAGCAGGCGATGAGCAAGGTGAGGGTGACGACATTCGGGCCGCCCTGGATGCTCGCGAGGACGCCAAGCGCCTGCAGGTGCAGAAGAGGCTGACTAGTGCCTGTCTGATGGGCACGTACTCGCTGTTCCTGGACGAGTTCCTGCTGGTACCCATCGCGAGCAGAGCCGAACGGTCAGCCTTCCCTCATTGTCCCTGCGATGCACGTGTGCGTATCTGATTTGTTTACTTACACGCAGAATAGCAGAGATTCGTGATTTGCGTGAGCGTTTGGAGACGCTCAAGAGCGACACCGAGTTCACGTTTCACCAGAAGGAGCAGGAGATGAACGAGCGGGTCGACATACTCCAACGAGAGAAGGAGGCGATGAGACAGAGTCTGCAGGCACAGTATGACGGTAAGGAACCAAGCAAGCAACGCGTGACGTCCACTCTCACCTTCTGTCTATCTGTCTGCCCATTCACAGCGATGGTCGAGAAGCTCGCTCTCGCTCACCAGACGCACGAGAGCGACGTGCAGGCAGTCACCACAAATCTTGAGAGGCGTCTCGAGACTGCCGAGCGTGACGCGCAGAACAAGTTGGAGAGACAGGTGGAGAAAATCCTCGCGCTGCGGGAGAAGCTCGACAGAGAGGGCCAGCACCACCACCTGTCACTCCTCAACTGCCGTGATGACCATGACAGGCGACTCAACGAGCTGCAGAAGCACCACGAGGGCGTCATCAAGGAGATACAGAAGGAGTATGATAGAGTGTGCAATCTGCTGCGCACTGATGGGGTCAAATTCGAGGAGGCGCTGACGCAGCAGGAGATCGAATACGAGGGAGAGATACAACAGTGGGCGAGCGGATACACGTGGATATGTGGTTTGCCATGAGTGGATGTGCATGTGTGTGTTGATAGGATGGTGAGTGACAATCGTCGTGCTCTGCAGGACGAGGCGGAGAAGTCCACTTCGGCCATCAAGGACAACGTCAGCCTCGCACAGACTATGATCTACCAAAAGGGTGAGGTGACCCCCCATCAATCCACCCAGACAAATCGACCAATACCTTCACCGGTGTGGATACATGCGTTGCATGATTCACACATTTGCGTGTGCAGGGGAGCTGCGTAAGAAGGAGGAGGAGCTTACGGACTGCCGCCGGAGAAACGAGAATATTCAGGCGCAGCTGGACGAAATGCGGGAGCAGAATCACAAAATGGAATCGCAGCTGAGGGAACGGTAAGCGAGTGAATCAACGAACGAGACTCCGACTATCCATCCAGCCTGACGTCGTCTCGTGTCTGTGTCTCGCTCAGTGAAGAGATGCTGCGGCGGAAGGACGAGATTGTGGGCCACTTGCGCGACACGCAGAAGCACCTGGAAAGCTTCAGATCAGTGCTCTTCCACAAGGTGAAGTCTCTCGAGGACGAGCGAGACCCACTTGAGGAGCAGGTGTACCGGCTCGAGGAGAACCTCAGAGATATATACTCTGAGTTCATGGACGAGATCCGGGTCAAGAAGAACCTCGAGAACAACCTCATCGTAGGCTTTGCTTCCACGCATCCATGACGCAGACATATCATTTATCGCTCTGTCCGTGTCTTCAACAGGAGAGGAACCAGAAGCTTGGCATTCTCCAGGGTGACAACAATAACCTCCGCATGAGGCAGCGCGGTCTCCAGTCAGACATCAAGCGCGTCCTCACCGACCTGCACGAGATCGTCAACGACCCACACATGACCGACGGCGCGTCCCTTGCCCGCAGTCTGCGCGACATCATCCGCAAGCACGAGAGCAGGCTCGCCGCAGAGGACCGGCCGGGTCGGAGGGCCCTGACGAGCGAGCAGGAGAGGCGTGGGGAGGGCGAGAAGGGATACCTGATGGAGGAGCTGCTGCGGCAGCGGGAGCTGCTGATACGGAAGGCTAGCTCCATCATGCAGAAAAACCAGTACCTGCAGGACGACCGGAGGAGAGACATGCTCAAGTGGACGGGACAGAATGCTGGTTGGACCATGTACACTCACTCATTGTGCATTCATATTCTGTGTCTGCATCGATCTTCTGTCTGCAGAATTGATCGCTGATCTGAATTGTCTGCGCGTCGAGAAACGTTCCTATGAGCGTGCCACCGGTCAGGAAGAGCATCAAAACAGATGAAACGCACAGCGTCCTTTGTTTACTCCTCTCCTTCAGACGACCTGAAGCACAAGCTGTATCTGTCCTCCTTCAAGATGAAACAAATCATCGCAGACCACCAGAGGGAAGAACTCCGGAGGCGATCCGCTTCACCAAGAAATGCCGCACAGCAACAGCAACAGCAGCAACAGCAACAGCCACGGCCGCACTCGCGCTCACCCTCGCAAGCGCCACCGCCATTGCTTCCTCCTCTCGACGCGACCACCGTTAGCCGCGAGCAACCAGCTGAGGGTGAACGGACACGGGCAGCGGCTGGGGGAGAGGTCGGCGATGAATTGGGTGACTTTCCGCTAAGTGTCGGAGCCAATGAAGGGCTGGTGGAAAGCGAGTCGGTCTACCGGCAGTGGCACATGAGGAGCGAGGAGGATGGGAAGGGGACGCCCTATACGAGACGGCAGGCGGCGAAGAAGTAGGTGTTTCTTTCCTACCACAGAAACTTTCCGCTTGAGATCCGTGTTTCTTTCCCGTCTGTCAGGGTTGACCGCGATCGCCTCCACGACCGCTCCGTCCACCTGCCGTCTCCTTCTCCGTCCCCTCTATCACCTCCCAGCAGACAATTCTCCGTCAGCAAGACATCACTGCGCGGCCAGCTAGCCACTCCCATGGGACACAGCAAGTCATTGCCGTCTCTCGTCAAGGGCGGCAGGGGACGAGGGGGGGAAAGGTTGTCGACAAGAGCTGTCCTGTCGCCGATCGAGCGACAGTACCAGGTGAGCGATGCCGGCGGAAGGTTGTCTGCTCACAATGGCCATCAATCACAAATGCTTTGTGTCACGATCAGGGGATGGTTGCTCGCTCAGACTACCAGAGCCGTCAGCTCGAGATGCAGGGATATCGTATGAGACACCTCCACGAACAAGTCAGGAACGCTCTGGATGACCAGCCCTCGTCATCCTTGTCGCGTCATGCCGCCCATCCGCATCCCAACGCGGCGGCAGTGGGCGTGGGGAGTATCACAAGCGAGACACAAGGCGAGTCAAGTCTGTGGAGCGACGGGATGGGCGAGAGGGCCGCAGGACAACCAAAGGTCAGGTGTCGACTTCACTGGTCTGCGCACACCATCTGCCGATCTGTTCGCTCAGGCCGCTCCTCACAAGGCAGCAATCGCCAAGTCTCGCTCTGGAAGTGTCGGGCCCAGAGATCCGCTGCACGGTTCAACTACAGCCGTGCTTTCGCATCCTTCCCAGGAGGCGCCATCCAGCCAGCAAGGGCAGGGCAGCAGCAAGGAGGAGGAGACAGTGTACACAGGGGGACCGATCAGCCCATCAAACATCTTTCCTGCTCTCGGAACGCGTGGGGTGGACGGCTGGTGACTGTGTGACTGATGTCAAAATGCTTGCTTCTCTCTGGTAAGCTATCTGTAGTGCTGATGGACAGCTCATGCAGCTGGGCGGCGAGAGACATGTGGAGACGCACATTCATGTACAGAGAGAGGATCGGATCGATAGACGTCCGTGTCTTGTGTGCATGCATCTGAGCGAATCGGCGGGTTAACAAGCAGGCAAATGTGGCAATGGCACATCAAAACGGCGCCAACGTTCACCAAAACACAGGCTTTCAATCATCTCACCAACCACACCAATCAGCTCCGTTACCCCGTCCCTCACATCATTGCGTCCGTTCGTCTGGTGGTGGTGGCACCACATCCCTCCCGCCAGAGGCAGAGACAGGCATCACACGAGACCTCGAAAATGACCTGTCGACTCTCTCACGAACCCACTCGATCGGCCCACCGCCTCCTAGAGCTGAGGACACCATAGGGCGGTCGTCGTCATGGTCCTCTTCAGGGCCCGGGATAGGAATTGGGGCACCATGCGAACGGAAAGGATTTGAGAGGGTGCCAAAACCGTCCATCTGGCCGTCAAGGGAAGGGGGCGGGTCGTCCTTCACAGACAGTATCACACAGGGATTGTACAATGCCACAAGGACGGACGAGCAGCGCAGCAGTGGATAGATGTGCTACATACCTGTCCCGAGCAGCAAATGCCGCTTGGCATTGGAGAACGCACGGTCGGTTCATTCGTCACGTACTTGCCCGGGACGCCGCCGACCTCCCTGTCCAGATTGACGGCTCCTGAGAAGGAGACGCTCTTTCTCCTCTCACCGGCGGCCGCCTCGCTGGCGCCATGCGATTGGGCCGGTTCACTCTGCAACCCGGTCGGCTGGTCGGCGAGCCTGGACTGTCGCCGCTCCTGGTGCCGCAGCATGACCGTCTTCCGTTTCTGCGCCAGCCACTTCCTGTGATGCTGAAAAGACAAAGGAGGGAGGGAGGGAGGGAGACACGAGTGGGCAATGCGCGAATGAGTGTGCGTGAGGACAGTGTCATACGTGTGTGCGATATGTGTGTATACCTGCTGCAGGAAGGGGTACATGATTAGGATTTCGTCGATGTCTCGTCTTGACAGTATGATGATCTGGCAGTGGCTGCCGCACACAGCCGTGTAGCGGCGTCCAGGCGCCACGCCGTGAGCGGCCCTGTCGCCGGGACGGGGCGACAAGTCCGCACCTTCCTCTGCGGCAGACGAGGGGGGCGACTTGATTGTCTCGAGGGCGTCCTCCCACAGCACCGACTCCCCCACATACGAGGGGGCTCTGAAGAAGAGAGAAGCAGACACGGAAATCGGCTTGGGGCTATTGATTGCCTTTTGGATGGTTCTGTGTGCGTGTATTTGACTGACCTCATCACGACTTCCTCATCTTTGCGGACGTAGTCGACGTCGTCGATCTGCAGGCAGAGACGGTCAAACGATGGGTATACGCACATATTACACTTTCCATATGTGGGCTCCGACGGCTCACGTCTTGCCTTGAGTTCCATATCCTCTCCTTGAGCTTCTCAATATACATGCGATGCTGAGAAACACACGTCCAGCAAATTATCAAGGTATGAAGCAGCCCCTCCCTCCCTCCCTGCCTCCATCCATGCATCTCTCTGTACGTACCTCCTCGGGCGTCATAGACGTGGCGAAATTCCTGAGGGTGGAAGCCTTCTTGCCCATCTTCTCCCTCCGCCTCCTTGTCGTGGCCATCCGCGTGAAGGTCTTGGTGATCTTGCTGCGCTTGTCGGCCGCCCCCGCGGCGCCCATGGCCTCATCCACGTCTGACCTCCCGATGGATGCCGCCAGATCCTCCATGGCGGAATGGTCTGGGGGAGAGAGGACGAAATGAAAATGTCTGTGTGTGTCATAAGGCCTCCTCGCCTGCGTGTGTGCGTGCGTACCTGTGCCGAGCACGAGCCTGCCTAAGGTGAGGAAATATACGTTGTCGTCGATTTGGCCCCTCTCGAAGAGCACATCGCCTGGGCCCTGCCACATCCACCTGCAGGGAGAAAGGCAGAGCCAGCCAGCCAACCAGACAGACAGACCGTGATGTCACCCAGTCTAGCATACATCGCATGTGTAATGGTGACAGTCAAGACGCTTTCCCTCACCTGGCTCGCTCGGCGAGTGTCTCGATACAACTGGGGTACGCCGCCATCCACTTAAGGAAAGGGGCGGCCTGTCGAGCGACGGCAATGAATGCACCGAGACGCGATCGATTCGTGTCTCACGTATATGTGTGTATGTGTATCTGTGTGTATGTGTATATGTATGTGTATGTATGTGTATGTGTATGTGTATATAGCTGACCGCCATGTACTTGCCGCAGACGTGCATGGCGACCTGACGCCTCAGAGTGAGAGACAGCTGAGGCAGCAAATCCTGCTCCCTGTGGCCACACACACGTATGTCACACATCCATCCCACCCATGTGAGCATTCATGTGTGTCGCCTCTGAGTTCGTGTGTGTCTGACCGTAGGGCCAAATCATTATCCTGGTCCCAGACATACTCAAGGTGACGGCGAATGCGGCCTGCAGCAGATAGTCGCAAACAACGGCCATGTCTCTTCCGGTGCAGTGCTGTGCCGCCATGTGGATAAGATTATGCCTTTGAGGGTGATGGGGAAATCTCTCCATCGAAGATAACGGCCAAGATTCGTCATCTGAGCACGATACCTGTGCGCACACACAGACACACAGACACACAGACACACAGACACACAGACACACAGACACACAGGCACACAGACAGACAGACACACAGACAGACAGACAGAGTGAGATAATGTCCTGTGTGCCCGCTTGTGTGTCTGCTTGCTTGTTATATGGCCGACCACTCATTGGCCATGGCGGAGCTGCTGAGGTGCTGTGTGATGGAGCCGAGGGTTGCACCGAAGACCGCCACGGCACTCAGCAGGAAAAGCACCGTAAACACCCTCTCGGCGTGGGTTATCGGCTGGATGTCGCCTGTACACCGGTGGGCGAGTCAACACGTGTGTGATTCCATTCATTGGCTCTTCTGTGTGAGCGTACCATAGCCGACAGTAGTCATGGTGGTGAGTGTGAAGTGCATAGAGAAGACGTACAGGTGCGGGAGGCTGCCCTGCAGGTGCTCCGGCACAAACTCTGTGATCCACGACTCACCGTACGTCTTGGTCGTCTCGAAACCAAGCCTGCGTGTGGTGTGGGAGACACACTCTCTCTCTCTCTCTCTCTTGTGTGTGTGAGTGTGTGTGTGCGCGTGTGTGTGAGTGTCTGTGTGTGTAGACACAGATGCGTCCCATGCCCATGCGTACCTGTACCAGATGCAGGCAAAGTAGTGCGACATGAGCAGCAGTATCAGCACCGCTCGGAAGATCACGATCGACGACGTGAACAGCGCTGCCCCAGAGAACATGTCTTCTAACCTGACATGAATGCGCACAACCATACCCACAGCTCCATCGCTTTCCTCCCTCTCCGACCGACCTCTGGAAGAATCTTGTCAGCTTTGCGAGGCGCAGGAGCTTGACGGCTCGAATGAACCTGCTGAACTTGAGGAAGCGGAAGAGCCTGACGCCGCTGGCGCGCTGGTCGTCGTCCGGGAGTATCCATGTGATGGGGAAGGCGGCGAGGAAGTCGACCCAGAACCAGGTCTTGAGGTAGTTGACGGCGATTGAGTGCGGGTTGAGCACCAGCACGTCGTCGCGGTAATAAGCGGTGAAGAAGTTAAGAACCAGGTCGCACATGAAATACACCGATATCGCCTTGTCGACGGTCGTCCTGCAGCCCCGTGGTTGACGACGGACACAGATGACGAGAGAGACAGAGACACCCACAACACGATCGATGGCGTGGCGTGTTGCCTGTTTGATGATTGATGTCTCGATCGCACCAGATGAATTCGGGGCTGGGCTCGAATGCGATGATGTAAGGTATTCTTAACGCTTCCCAAAGGATGAACACGAAACCCAGAATGTCCCACAGCGCCCTCAACAGCCCGTCGGGATGCACAATCGGCACCGAAATCGTCCTGCTCACTCCGCACAGGGTGAAGTGGATCGGTGTCCACGTGCGCGTCTTAATCTTCCTCGCGTCCTGATCTTCCTGCTCGTGCCTCAGGGATATCCCGTCCATCGTGGTCAGCGTAGCGCTCGACGCGCCCACCTGCGGCAAATGCCACTTGACCCTCGTCATGTCCTCCTCCACCCCTCCCTCCCCCTCTTTCAAAGGCTGCTTTGCCCCCGCTCTGTCCTCGATCACCTCCTCCTCTCTCTCCATCTCCTTATACTTGACACCAGCACTGCTCAGCTGAGAGCCGAGACGATCCAGGCTGGTGGCAGGCCGCACTGGTTGGCTGATGTCGTCATCTGCTGTGGCTGGAGGGGCTGCGCGGCCGCCTTGGGGAGGCAGTTGGACGACTGGCTGGGAGGAGATGGGGCGGGATGGCGGTGGGGAGGGGGGCGCGGAGGTGTGAGGGACACCTGGCAGCTGCCGCGCCAGGGAGGGGGACGACAGGCTGTTCACTTGCTCCGTCAACACATCGAGTCGGGAGCCAATCTGACATGCATGGTGGACCAGAGACAAGAAGCTGCAATGAATTGTTCTTGCGCATCACCCTGTCAGCTGACCTTGAGCACTTGGTCGAGTATCTTGTGCAGGAGCTCCTCCACATGCGGGCTGGTCTGCTGGGAGGGCGTGATGCCGCCGGTCGAGTAAGGGTAGTGTACCACCTCCGACTGCCTGGACGCTCGGTGCGCATCGATGAAGAAAGACGAGCCCTGCAGCGCCACGCACGCATGCAACGACGCAACCAGCGGAATTATGGAGAGGGAACGTGTGCTCTGTTTGTTCCTTCATTCCATCAAGTAACCTGATGCACGTGTGTCGGCAGCTGGAGAGTCGACTTTCTGCCAGCGCCTGACGCCGGGCTGGCGGAGCCAGACGGACGTACGTGACTCCACATGAAGTGTGTTCGAGGTGGGGGCGGATGAGGGCAGACAAACCCGAGCTCGCACATGCATGCATCGCATTCCCTCCAAGGGAAGCTAAGGAAGGGAAGCATTGTCATCATCTCGTGTCCAACATGCACACACGGTCCATTCATTCCCCATTCCTCCCATCTTCCAACCCCATCCCCGTTCCCTCTCTCCCCTCTCGCAGGGAGCCTCCCTGACCGCCCTCCTCCGCCAGGGACTCAGTCTGCATGCTATCATCCCGCATCTCCGGCTGCCCACCCTCATCTGCCCGTGGCTTCGGGGGCGCCGAGGGCGACCGGGATGACGGCATGCTCTCCTGCAGCCGGCGGCGCTGCGCCAAAGCATGGTCGAGTGTGGCGGTGAAGCGAGCGAACCTTGACTGGAAGTCGTGGAACTGCTCCTGCACGTTGGCGTATGAGAGGTTGTCCAGGCCAGCTGTGCAGATAGGTGAGGCAGAAGGCAGACAACAAAGTGTCTGTGGGCGCCCAGGTGGGTGGGTGGCTGGCGTGTGTGTGTGCCTACCTGAGTGTGATCTGTAGCTGGGCTCGGCTGTGGTGTGGGGGGATGTGGCAGCCTGCTGACGGACAAACGCATCAGCCACCTGCACCAAACACAAAAACCAAAGGCGTGCAGAGAAGGTAGGGGATGTGTTTTGTCGTCGGTCACCTTGATGAAGTGTTTGAGGTTGTAGCACTCGTGCCTGAAGCCCTCCAACTGGAACCAGTTCTCGCGCATGCACGCTGCCAGCCTGCACGCAGGCGTCAAGACGGCGGACGGATGGACACTTGGACAGACGTGCACTCCGTGTGTGTGCCATCCGCGTTCACCGCTTCTTGAGCAGGCTTATTCTTTTGTGATAGTGTTGGGTCTCCTCTGTTTGTTTCTTCTGCGCCTCTTCCAACTCGGCCTGCACAGCTCGCACGCACATGCAATGAATCCATGCAGCCATATCTGAGTGCATCCACTCGGCTTGGCTGACCTCTGCTCGGTGGAAGTTCCCACGAGCTTTGGCCTCCTCACTGTGGAAGGAACAATGGATGGATGGATGACCAAAATAAATGACATGCATAGGCGACTTACGCTCTGTATTTGCGTATGCGCTGCTGTGTTTGCTGCTCGGCCTTGGATATGGCAGCCTGCACACACACGTGTACGCCACGCCCGGGCATGACCTCCTCTCATATGATCTGTGTGTTGTGTGTGGGGGTGCTCATCCCACCTCGGCCTTGGTGTGCACCTTGATGGCCACATCCCGCAGCTGACGGGACAGCTTGGCATTGTGCTCCTGAATGGATGCAGCAATCCGCACCATCTGTTTTGCCGTGTGTGTGTCCCCCTCGCCCAACTCACCTGCAGCTGATAGACCTCCTCCCGATAACGCCTCTCGAGATTCTCATGCGAGCCGCGGATACGCAGATAATCTGCAGCCATGGGAAATCGGCACATATACACCAGTGTCTGTTTGGATGTCTGTGTGCGTATGCGGCGCGGCACCTCACCCTGTGTGGTGGTCTGCAGCAGCCTTTCCGCCTGCTCCGCCCGCTGTGTATAGTCCTCTTTCTCGGCCCGGTGAGCCGCCGTGCCCAGCTGATACTCCTCCTCGCGGATGGCCCTGCACCACACACAGCCAGCCATCCAAACCATGGGCAAGGAATGCAATGCAGCCCGCTCGTTCTTTGCCTTGGCTGACCTCTCCTGTTTGAGCGCCTCCACAGAGCTGACATGGACCTCTTGCTGCAGACAAGGGATAATGGGGACAAGACAGGGCCACTTTCTCTGGAGTACCGGCCGCTCTGACGGCATGCTGCTCCGTCTTTGCCGTACCTCTCGCTTGAGCTGCCTTTGGAGTGTTTCGATCCTCTCATACAGCGACGCAGCCTCGTCACACGGCAAATACACCTACACACGCCATCAACCACACCAAACACAAGCCATACACTCAGAACACTCGGATGCCCACAACGGTGATGGATACGGATGTGCTCACCACACGGATGGTCCCCCCCTCCCTCTCCCTCTCCACTCCCCTGGCGGCCGCGCGTGGCTTCCTCCCGTCCGGCCCGCCCTTGCCATGCTGCAGGGTTGCACCCGGCGACACCCGACCTGACGGCGTGCACGTGGGCGGCGTGGTGCCGAACGGATAGTGCGTCACCTTCTGGGCTCCAGGCTGCTGCTGCTGCTGCTGGTGGTGCTGCTGTGGGTCAGTCGTGTGGGTGTTGGGTGCGATTGGGTATGGGTGGAAGTAGGTGATCTCCTGCACGGACGGGGGGGAGATGGACAGGAGCGTATGCAGCTTGCGAGTCAGCTCTGTGACCTCCACTGATCGAAGAAGCGAGCAACGAAGGGATACCAGGTAAGTGAAGTGTGCCAGGGGATTGTGTGTCGTTGCGTTGCGTACGTCTGAGGTCGTCATTGTCCTGTGCAAGCCTGAGGCCCTTTTGCCGTTCCTGGAACAGCTTGTAGTTGCACTCCGTCAACGACTGCTGCAAATCACCCACCTGCAACACGCACAGCGCCATGACTGCTGCCCATGCCAACCAAGGGAGTGCTGTGCTGACTGACGCCCTGCCTACCTCCTTGACGCGTGTCTGTATCTCAGCCCGCAGCTTCTGCATCTCTTCCTGTGACACCTGGCACTTTTGCAGCTCATTCAGCCAGCCCTCTCGCTCGGCGCTAAACGAATCTGCATCCATCGACGAACAAGCCACACGCAGCTAGCATTGCAAATGAGCGAGAAAACCTGATTCATCGAAAGCCGGGGGGTCTGACCTGATTTCTCTCGATAGAAGGCGATGAGGCTGTCCTTGTCCATCTTCTCCAGGCCCTTCTCCTTCTTCCGAAGCTGCGCCGTACGGTGAGCCATGATGGATGGCCCGGCGGGCTACTCAGCGACAAACGCACGCGATTCTCAGCTCAATACCTCTTCACGTCAATGTAAGTATCTCAATGCATTCCAACAACTGCATTCCAATCGCTCCATCAGCCAGAGGGCGGTTTCACGCAATGTCCCAAGTGGCCCGAAACGATTGGGGCTTGAGCACAAGGGACATCAAATACAAGGTGAACACTCATTCCTCGCAGGCCTCCTGTTTGATCTATTCTTTGCACTGCAGAAACGCACGCCAGTCTCTCCGCCGTGGGGGCATGTCCCGGTGAGTCGAATGCTGGTGGCCATGTTGCTCTGGTGGTCAGCATTTCTTGCTTCATCTGCACTGGCGGTGCCGCTGCGGGGCGCCTATGACCTCAGCGTCAGACAGAGACAGATGCTGCCGCCAGGCAATCGACGGAGAAGCAGAGTCAATCACCGTGGCTGAATCATGTCCTTCGTGTGGGGCTTGCTTCTCTTCTGCTCTGTGTGCTCGTTCAGCTCACCCGCTCGCAGTCGGCCAGCACACTAGAGACTCGGACATTGACACGGATGACGACATCTTTGACGAAGCAGACATCGTGATGCAGCCGTCCCCCCAACAGCCCCCCCAGTCACCCAACGAGAAGGAAGCCCGAGAGCTAAAGCCGTCCGCGGAGGCCCTGGACGAGGACCCAGAAGAAGGAGAAGAGCTGGAGGACATCGCCAAACACATCGCAACAGCCTTTTTCGGGGAAGGAGGCTCTCCCGAGGCAAATCCAGCAGAGCCACCAAAGAAGGAGGAAGCGAAGAAGGCAGAAGGAGTCCAGGCGATCCCACAGGACGAGACTGCGGACGGGTGCGACGAGGGGAAGCCAACACCTGAAGAAATGCGCAAGAGGGAGCAAAAGCTCCTCGATGAGATCAGGAAAGCTTCCCTCTCCAACCCCGCCACCGCCACCAACATCACCATGACCAGCCCTCCTCCGCCGCCGCCACCGAAGGACGACGAGTGTGAGACGCCCGCGCCAAAGGAGAAGGCACTTGAAGAGACGGCCGTCATTGGCGGGGAAACGGAGCAGCAACTGACCGAGACAGAGGGGGACAGCCACAGCCACAGCCACGGCCACAGCCACAGCCACAGCCACGAGGCACCGCCAGCAGCGGCCGCCAAACCCGAGAAAGAGCTGTCCGAGACGGAAGGCGAGGCGTCAGAAGAGGAGGAGAAGAAGCTGTCGGCCACGGAGGGGGAACCTGTCGAGAAGAAGGAAGAGGCCGTCGAGGAGAAGAAAGTCACAGGTTGACCGACACGACGGAAACAGACATATGTGGATGGATGGATGTATGGGGAAGGCGGTATGCTCTCATGTTGGCAGTCAGTGGTGCGCTGCAGGTGGGGCGGCGGGCGGGTACGACGACTGCGAGCCCATTAGGCCCAAACTGGTACCCACAGCCAAGCCATACCCACTAGGCGACGACGGTACATCGCACACACAGAGGCAGAATCCGGTCGAAGTGCCGCCTGTCATCAGGTTGTGAACCCGAGAGTGCGTCTTCCCCTGCGAGCCTCAAGAAGGGCGAGGAACCCGGGGCGCCCAAGGAAGAGCCCAAGACGGTACCTGGTGCACAGCCGCAGCAACCGAAAGGTCCTGGTGGCGGCAAAGGTAGGTATCCACACGACAGACATAGACCGAATACACCCAACCGAATACACCCATACCCACGGCTGACGTGATGCCACCAACTGTCGATTTACTTGCCGTCCCTTCTGGTTGTGCTTGTGTGTGCAGCGGCTGGTCTGAGTCCCTCCATCTCCACGCTGACGATCGTCGCTCTCGTCACTTTGTTCATGCGAACGTGAGTCATAGATAAGAGAGAGACACAACACATGGCCGCCCGTGAGTGAATTAATGGCTGAGAAGACCGCATGGGATGGAACCAACTCACTGGATTGCCTCAACCATTGACAAGTGACGGCATGGCGCTGCGTGATGGCATTCGATTCATCTGCCAAAGTGGCGCCTCCTTGGCGTCTAAGTTCATCCTAACCAGCTCTTGTGTCGGTGGTCTTGTGTCGGTAAAGGGCAGACACCGACCACATTCACTCACCGAAAGCATTCATAAAGATTCGGCTGTGCTACAGACACAGAAAGGGGGCCGACCATCCGGATTCAGCGTCGTGTGTGTGTCTGCACATCCCGTCATTTCCCCCAGCTGCACGGGGGTGTCTTGTCCAATTTCCACATACATCTCTTCGGGCCACTATACTTGCGGCCGTCACGGTATTCGACCACGTCACCTCCTGACATTCACACCAGAACCGTACGTGATGCCGCACTCATATGCTGCAATGCGTGAGGCTGGCAGCATGCTCCCTGTGTGTCACATACATACCGGCCGAACTGTCGTTGTCGTAGTAGGTGGGAGACATGAGGATCTTGTCGTCGCCGCCCTTCGTCCACTTCACCTGCAATGCAGTGCATGGTCGATCGACACATACAATCATAAGTGGCTGAATCCATGGAGGTGTCGCGGTCAAGGCAAGGCTTGCCTTCGCGCCTGTGTATCCGGGGTCACAGAGTATGAGAGGGGCCGGGTTCAGGCCGTAGCCGGTGACGGCGCACACCCTGGTGAAAGGGCACGTGTTGACGCTACCACCCCCGCCATCGGCGGGACACTCTGCAAGCACAAGCAGTGGAGGGACGTCGACAGGCCAGCACCCGCCCACTGATGCGTCAGCTGCCAGGCACACCACCACGCCGGGGTCAGTATGTGTCTTACTGTAGCCAATACCCGTAGCCAATCTTCTTGATGTCATCGAGGGTGACACCACACAGCTTGGTACTGCCGCCTGGCAGTGCAGAGGCCAGGAGAGATTGCACACATACAGTCAGTAGTCGCCACATGCCCGACCGCTCATTCAGTTCATGTGTGGACCCCGGAATCCGATGATGTGTGCGGTGCACTGGCCGACGACACAGCCCACGATGACCACTGCAATGAGAGACACACTCGTCATCTTGACTCGACGTGGCGCCGGGGGACACTGAAAATGAGGAGGACACGATGCAGAGTCGACCACGGACGGCGACCGTCAAGTCTCGAGGGCTGTCGCTTACGGCTGATGCAGCTTGCTTGACGCAGGGGACCTGAAAAGGGATGGGAAATAGGATCTGCGGAGGACAGGCGAGAGGCGAGACGCCTGCGCCCCACATCAGGCCCCCAGGCATGCAAACTGGCCGGGACGTGATCTTTAAGATCTTTGAAGATCTTCAATTGCAAGGTCTCTGTCCTTGTTCCGGTCAGCGACGCGTGCAGGTAATCTCTAACTACCTGCACTACTCTCTATAGGCATTCCCACTCCATCGATGGAGCCTGCCTGCCTTCCTCCTTCGTTATCCACAGATCTTCGCTGCTGCGATGCATTCCGCCGACAGATGACTGTCCGCCGCATGGACAGAGACAGATAGACGGCTGACCGCCGAGACACCCAAACCACACACGGGCTGGTAGCTAGTGGCGTCGCACCTTGGACGCCTTCTGGATGAACGCCGCCGCCAAGTCCTCACCTACACGCATCCAGACATCAGACAGTGGTCCATGAGTGCCTGTGTGCGAGAGTGGAGGGAGACACATGCTCCCTCTCCTCTCTCACCGTTGAGTATCTTGAGGGCCTCCTGCAACGACTCGATTTCCTCCTTGCGGCGCGCCACACGGTCCTCATAACTCACACTGAACAACAAAGAAGGAGGGGAGACACAACAGACGGCAAGATGCGCGGAAGGTATGGACTGGATGCGATGCCTTCTCGTCGTTGGTGTGCTGTGCTGCACAGCACACACCTGGTGTCAACGCATGCGGGCTTGAGCTTCTCGTAGTAGGCCAGGGCGGCGTCCAGCTCCTTCTGTGCACCTTCATGGTCCTAAACACACACATACACACACACATACAGATGCATGGACAAGAGGATCGGTGAGAGTGCGGCTGGCGTGTGCAGCTGTCGGCTGACCGACCTGTATCTTCTCCTGTTTGTCACCCTCGAGTGTGTGTTTCTTCTCAGTCTTGTCCTCGATGTCCTTCTCCATGGTCGCCTTGTTGACCTGAGACTCCATCATAAACTAACACACACACACACACATGGAGGAGTCACTGCATCCATTTCTCTCTCGTTCGATTACCGATAGGTAGTCTTTCGAGGCTTGCTCCTCATCTGCTTTCGTCTCCGTCTCAAGTCTGCATCAACCGACCAACACACCCCACACACATATACACACACGATGTGCGTGTGTACGTCTTCCCCCCCACACCCAGCAATCCAGCCGCCCACCTGGCAAAGTCGGATTGGATGACCTCGAGCATGGCGACCACGCCGCCCTTGCCTCCTTGCCCACCGCCCTTGAACGACTCGTCCCACGTCATGGGTGCGTCCGCCTCGGGTGTCTGGTACAGGGCTGACTTGAGCTGCAGGAACGCTGTCGCCTCGCCGGCCTTGGCGTAGAATTCCTTGAGGATGGTCAGCGCCTGGGCGACGGCAGTTTGGGCCTCCTGGGCATCTGGGGGACACACACAGCACAGCGAGAGGAACCAGGATGTCTCTCTGTCCCTTTGTGTTTGTGGGTAGCTAAGGGCGCGTACGTACCGGCGATGGTTTGTTTGTTGGTTTCCTTCTCCTTTTGTCGGTGTTCGCTCGCCTTGGCCATGGCAGCCTCCAGCTCGCTGAGCTCACTGGTGGTGTCCGCGACCTCCTGCGCCAGCTTGTTGATGTTGGCAGTCAGCTCCTCGACCTCGGATGCCAATGTGTCCACCTCATCGCTGATTTGGACACACACACACACACACACAGAGGGAGAAAGGCGTGTGTCTTGGTATTCTGGGGGTCTGGGGGTCGGCTGTATGCTGACCTTTTGCTCTTTCTGGTCTGTTCGTTGGCCTTGAGCTCAGTGTCGCACCAGCCCTTGTGCTCCGCCTCGGCATTGGCCTCCTCCTACACACCAATGGCCAACCAACACACACAACACACCCCACACACACTCGCGCCAATGCAGCTGATGTGTGTGTGTGCGTGTGTGCGGTGGTGGGTTACCATGAGTCGCACGATGAGGTCCTGGATCATCTTCTTGACTTTGGTGAATGGGTCGTCTGCCACCTTGGCGGACAAGGAGAGCAGGACCGACGAGTTGAGCTTCTCGGCACGGGTGCGCAGGAACTCCGCAACGGTCGTCTGCACCGCACGGCGGGACTTGGAGCCAACCTGAACCATGCATGAGCCCATGACGCACACACACTTGGGGGTGGGGTGTGGGGGTATGTGTGTCGCTGCATTGTTGTCACCTGGATGAATGAGGTGGCCTTGACGGCGTGGGCGTGTCCTCTGTTCTTCTGGATGAGTGTGGGTGTCTGCACCAGGGTGGGCAGGTACTTCTCCGCGTGTGGCTTGACGGTCGACTCCAGGACGTCAATGGCCTGCGTCACCGCCTCAATCTCCTCACCACGCAGCTGCACACACACAACACACAACACACACACACACACAACACAGAGCAATACCGCCACCCACTCTTTGCCCTCCCCCTCCCCCCACAACGCACCTTTTGTCTCGACTCAAATTCCTGGTTCTTGGTCTCACACTGCGCCTTAAGGTCGGTGAGGTACTTCTTGTCACCCTCATACGTCTGTGTGGTATCGGCGAGCTCGCCCTTCCTGTCGCCGGCGTTCCGCAGCTTCCTGCCCCGCACCTCTGTCTTCTGGTCGCGGCTCTTTGTGGCCGTGGCGATGGAGTTCTGGAGGTCTTGCGAGAGCATCTCGTAGGCGTGACGGGCGTTGGCCTGCACACAAAGGAAGGGCGGAGGGCGCATTCATTGTGTGGGGTGTGGGGTGGGGTGTGCGCTGATGTGGGGTACCTCTTCTTTCTCGAGTTGGGTGCGTTCGTCGATGAATTTGTCGAGGAGCTTCTCGAGCATGTCGGTGACCCCACCACTTTGGAACTCATATGCATGCGCCTCGGGGGCCTTATACCTACACCACACACACACACAGACATGGATGCATCTCTGCTCTGCACGCGTAGATGTCTCCTGTCTGTGTGTGTATGTGTGTTAGCTACCCCAGTCCAGTGGCTGCTGGTGGCTCCTGTGCCGACTGCAGGAATGCGTCGATGTCGGTGCGGGCCGCGGCGGGCAGCTTGGTGCGGAGCGTCTGCAGCAGCGATGCCGCCTGGGCGCGGTTGAAGCTCTGCTCCTTCAGGACTTTGATGGCACGCTCCAACGCGTCAATGGACTCGGAATAATCTGTTTTCGCCATACAGGACACACAACAGACAGACACAGATGCGGTCAATGGAGGCATAGATCTTCCTCAGATCTCCCTGTCCTGTTTGCCCACCTTTGTGTGTGGCGACAAAGTCGGTGTTCTCGTGTTCTCGGATCTCAGTGGCGTCCTTGTGGTCGGCGTCCCACGTGGCTATGTCGGCGTCGTGCTGCTGGATCTCCTTGGCCAGCCGCTTGGCGTGGGCCTCGAACTTGCCGATCTGGGCCTCAAGGGTCTCCATGAGAGTCCTGCACAGTGTAGGTGGACATGGGTACGCGTAGATCTACAGATACATCCATCTGTGGAGGGATATCATGGCTGGCTTACGTGGCTTCCTTGATGGCGGCGTCCTTGGTGGCAGATGTGTCGATGCACCACTGCTTGTAGGCCGCAAAGGCCAGCTCCTCTTCCTTCTTCTCCTTCTCGCCCTGAGATAGACACGCCTGCACACACACCGCACCACCCGCAGAGAAGGAAAGATCTCAAGATCTCTCTCCCAGGCGGCAGCTGGAGAGATCTGTGGCAGATCTGTTGTGCAGAGGCCATCCATCCAGCGCACCTTGAGCATCTCGATGACCTTGACCGTCGGCGTCACGGCAGCCTGCACCACATCATCAACCGTGGAGGCGTGTGTAGTCCCGACGTGCTGCGGCGGGTGCGGTGGGAGTCGTGCGTGTCGGTGAGTGATACCTTGTACTTGAGGAGGACGGCCGAGCTGACGGCGACGAAAACCAACGAGAGCAAGACCTTCATCCTGAAAATGCGGGCAAAGAATTGGGCAAGGAAGGTCCGTAAACACAGGACGCCGTTTCTTCTTGGCCAGCATCCGTCTCCGCCCCCACCGGTCCCCCCGCCCCCACCTGCCTCTTCGCCGTCTCACCGCGCAACTACAGTCCCGCGCTGATTTTTAGTCCTGAGAAAGGCCTGTGATGCGCCCACAAGTGACAAGGCAGCCTGGCAGATCCCTGCCAGGCAGATCCCTCTAGCTTCGTCATCCCAATTCTCTTGCCGGTGTGTGTGCGTGTGTGTCCGCAGCAGCCTCGCTTCCACGTGACTCATCCCGCCCGTGAGATCTGACGATGTCTGGAGCCTCTGACGTGCACCAGCAGCAGCCCAGCACGATGGAATTTACAGGGTTCGGGGTCAGGGTTTGGGCTTCAGGGTTTCAAGCTGCCGAAAGGAACGACGAATGAGAGGTGATAGAGGTGATAGAGGTGATACATAACATTCGTGTGAGACCCTGTCTGTCTTTGACTGCATGGCTGTTCACGTCAACTCCGATCCACAGAGGCACGCACCCCATCCAATCCATGCGTATAGCGTCCATGCATCCATCATGCGTGGGTTGGATAGCTACAGGGGGACCCTTTTCTCCACCACCACAGCCGGCTCCAGCCCGCGGGGACGCCACTGAAGTGATACACACACACACACACACACAGCCAGGCAGCCAGGGGATGAGCACAGCAAACACCCTTACTGGCAACGTACTACGCACCTGTGACGGCCGGGCCTCGAGGATCGCCTCTGTGCACCTGCAGCAGAGGCAGGCCAGGAGACAGGCAATCAAGAAGATACACATGCACACATACACACACAAGGTCTTGTCTTGCTCATCGATCGACTCACCCTTTCACAAGTTCAGCCATCTGTGTGAGCTGCAGGCATGCATCCACGCGCTGTGTGGTGACACGCAGGGCCTCCTCAACCACACTGTCCCCTGACAGGGCTATGTCCTACACACACAGGGAGAGAGGGAGGGAGCATGAAGACGCCTACAGTGAGTGGAAAGGATGGATGCTGTGGTTAATGAATGACCCGCCCACCGTGGCTTTGGCCTCGAAGAGCACATTGGCCAGCTCCAGCACCTGTTTCCGCACACACATACAGACTGATGCCGTGTGTGTGTGTGTGTGTGTGTCATAACGTGCCTGTGAGAGCGGCGGTGCGTCTTCGATGGGGCCAGCGGTGGCATCGGTGTGGATCAACAGCCTGAGCCACACCATACACACACGTCGGGTTGTTGGTCTCTCCCACGCCCTGCCCGCCCACATGCATACAGACATCTAAGCATGCGTACCATCGGTCGATTTGTGTGACCCACTGCAGGAAGACCTCCAAGGGCAGGTGCTCACGCAACGCACACACCATCTGAGGCCGAGAACTACACACACAGGCAGATAGAGAGGGTGTCACATTCGCACACACGGCCGGCCACACTGGTGGGCATCAGATCAGTCCCTCTATCTCTCCCAGTGAGTGACACGTACGTGGCCTGTCCGACAAAATGAGTCTTGAGGAAGCCTGCCGTCAAGTCGCCGTGCCACACTGCCAGACGCACGACATCATCGTCCTGACACCAAGACACACAAAAACAGACGCATAGCATCTCGTTGTGTGTTCGTGTCCCCTCCCTCGCTCTTGGTTGTGCCCCTGTCTGTCACACCAACCGATAGGTTCTGTGTGGCCACAAGCCGCTCAGCAGCACTGTGCAGGCCGTTCTGCGTGACGATGTGGACGAGAGGCGACAGGCAGGAGGACGCAAACTGACCGCCGCTCACCAGACCCACGATGCAGTCACCTGCAGTGCACACGGGGGGAGGGGACCGACACAATGAAAAAGGGGAATGTGATGCGATGTGGCTGTCTATGTGAATATTTGCCAACGTACAGATCTTCTGCCGTTTCCTCTCTTCCTTGGTCTCGTCGCCGTCAGCCGTCCTCGCGAGTGCGGCGATCTTGCCGTCAGAACGAGACAGGGCACTCGTGATTGCCTGACAGACAACCAACGCGCACCAAATACAATTCATGTGCCACTCGCTACGCTCGCTACTGTGGCTTTCGTACCTTGATGGCGAAGTTGGGCTGCGCTTCGATGGTTTCCCTGAGGGCACCAGGCAGATACTCGAGGGCTGCACCGCGGCCTGGATGACAAACACATAGACATGCGGTGGGTGTTGTTGTGTGTCGAGATGTGCTGTCTTTCGGGGTCTCGTGTGTGTGGGTGGGATGGGCTGCGTACCAATGCAGGCGGCCGCTGTGACTGGGGTGAGATCAAGGGTCACCACAGACATCTGCCGGCAAACACCGACGGCAGACCAACCACACATTCAGGATGCATCGCACACGGAGGGAGGGCAGGTCGCTAAGGTACCTCTGGTGATGCGAAGGAGACCCCCACAGACACCGCCGACGAGTCAGATCCCCGCCGCATATCCACAGAGGGGAAGACAACAGACCGCTGCACACCACACAACCCAACAAATGACAAGGGCACGGTTTCTCCCTCGGTTGCGTACCCTCACTGCTCCACTGGCTTGCAGCCTTGATGGCCCGTGGTGTATGGCCCCCCACTTGGTGTCACGCACAACGTAGGCACTCTCATACCTCTCGCCGTCGGCCCCATCCTCAACCTCGGACGCCATCTGCTCACTGCCATCCCTAGCAGCACTGGCAGCTGGCCTCCGCATGGTGATGAAGAGAAGCTCCTCTGAGAGGGAGGACGCCCCGACCACTTGGAAGGGGGCGGTGAAGTCGGTTTGGCTGCTGCCGTCATGGAGGTCTTGTTGGTGGCGGATTGCGGGCAGCTGGTTGACCACTGACAGCTCCAGGGACTGGGGGTGCCGCTCACATATCTGCATGGCATGAAGCACATGGGTACATACAATGCGCACGGCACGTTTGTGGGGGCGGGGACAGTGTCTGCTGTGAGTGACTACGTGAGTGAGCGAGCTAGTGGGTGTGTACCCTACCTGTGTGGCGCCTCCATCCCAGGTGATAGCGATCCTTTTCAGAGGGGACCAAGATGGACTCGCAGTGATGCTCAACACCTGATGGATGGATGGATGGATGGATGAACCAGAAAGACACATGTCTATCACATCAGCAACTGTCTAACCTCAGCTGCATCGGGTGACTCTGTCGCAGGCAGACTGCCGCTGGGCAGCTCCTCCACCTGATCGAGTGCCACAGCCGGGTCATGCTGCTCATCAGGCGGTGGCAGTGAGAATCTGCACCCCCAGTAGCCGCAGCCCGCCCCCGCGCTGCTGCTGGCGGCGTAGTGCATCACATAGACCGTCACCACCCGCCGGCCGTCCTCCATGCCCTCAAAAGGCAGCACGCTCACCACATCGCCTTTCCTAATGCGGCAGCCGGGCAGGCTGACCGTCGAGAGAACAGCCAGCCGGATATGTGACGATGAAGCTGCTGTGTTGTCGTCAGCAGCCTGTTGTTGGGTCTTCTTTCTCTTGCCGGGCTTCTTCCCCGGCGGCTGATCTGTTGACGTGGACGCGTCGTCGCGTGTGAGTGACAGAGAGAGGAGCAGCAGCTTGCCGTCCTTGGTGAGGGCCGACAAGAGCAGGCCAGAAGGGGCGATGCTCGTGACGGGGGTCAACTGTGCGAGTGACCCAGACACCTGCAGCAGCAAAGAGAAAAACCATCAACCACACCACATCAGACAGGCTGACGGTTGCTCTTCCCTCTCCTTTGCTGCTGACCTGCAGGGTGGTCACTGCCTCTCTGTCCGGCATCGCCACACCGACCTCCTTCAGTCCACTCGCGAACACCAGTGCCTCAGGCGGGTCAGACTCATCGCCTTGCGGCGGCATGCTGACCCATATGAGACCCACCTCAGGCCGGATCTCCCCCTGTGGACCAATCGTCGCTGCTGACTCTCCCTCAGCCTCAACACAACACGAAAGCACGACAGTAGAGCAAAGAATGAGTGTGGCCGATAGATCTTTCTGTTCTGTTCTGTGATGAGAGAGTCACCCCTGTGTAGTGCTTGACGCCCTCGTCGGCAACGTAGGCGACGGCATGGTGGACATCACTCGATGAATCTGGTGATGAAATCGTTTGACAAGGCCAGATCGCGGCACTCTCTGTCACGTGGAGACTGTCGTCTTCACGCGCACTCATCGTTACCAGAATCAGGAGCAGATCGTTGCCAGAAGCAGCAACAGTTTCAGGTAGCACCCTAGCGGAATGCGAGCTCAAGGGTAAATTGCTGCCGAGGAAGGGCGCGTGAGAGCCTCATTCTTCGCCTTTTGTGCGGCGCAAGGTGCGGCGCGATGATTCCTTGACTTTGGTACGCCGATTGATGCAAGAATTGTTGCAAGCGAGTCGGCAAGGAGAGCCAGATATGTGTTTTGTCTGCTGCAGATGGGTGCGCACAGCAGCCGAGTAAGTTGCCGCTCCGCTGGCTCATTCAGCTCAAGCAGGCGCATCTGTGTTTTGGAGGGTCGTGAGCTGACGGGTTGTCACGGAGAGGATCTGTGTGTGTGTCTGTGTGTGGTGGTGGTATGCCAGGTTGGTGCAAGGTTGGTGGTAATTCATCCTGATGGATAGGGCGCCAGCGAGTCGGGCCGCGGCAGCAGCAGCAGCAGCTGGTGATGGTGCTGGTCGTGATGGTGTAGGTGTGAAGCGCAGGTGCCCCACCGATGGCGGGAAAGAGAGCGATGCGCGTGATGGGATACTCACGGGCATCCAGCAGGGCCAGCGGGTCATAGAGGCCCTCAAAGAGATGCTCACAGACCTAGAGCAGCGAGAGGTGAAAATGGGCGGCACGGCGGCACCAGACAAACCATCGGTAGGGATGCAGGGAGGGAGAACAAAGAAGGTGGGTGAAGAAGGAAGGGGTGTCACTTCTCCTTGTCTGCTGTGCATGTGTGTGTCAGGGCGAGTTGCTGCGTGAGGTGTTGCAGTTCAACCTTAGCGGGGAGCCTTTCAGTGCCCGCCGGTCGGCCCTCTGTGCGGCCAAGGGCAGTGTGCTGGCAGTGATGTACTGTGGCAAATTTGACGCCGCTTTCATCCGAGATGAGAAGAATCGCATCTTCTTGATGATCCACGCACCAGCCTTCAAGTGGTGAGGGACTAATTACACTGGTGTGGCACGGACGAACGGTCACGAGATGGCTGATGTGGTGTGTGTTCAGGTTGGTGGGTGAACTCATCATGTACGAGGGCGAGCAGATCGAGACTGTGGCGCTGCCGCCGTCTAAACAGAAGGACGCACCATACAAGTGACCACCCACTACGCAAGAAACAAGAGGGGAGGCCGACAAGGTGAGACCTCTTCTGCGTATCGATCGTCTGTGTCAGGTATTGGGCTGAGTTGCTGCTGTCCGACCCATCTGCGAAGAGGCGAGCGACCCACGACTCCGTGGCCATACCGCCTGCACAAGAGGGCCAGCAGGGAATGGGCGGCGAGCAGCCCAAAGACGACGCCCTCTGCCGCTCACTCGAGCTCACCAGTATCATCAAGAGGGCCATGGAGGACAAGGCTGCGCAGGAGGCACGCCTCGAGGCCATCAGACCACTGCTCAAGACGGGCAATAGCGAGGAGGATTCGGTACGTAAAAGGCAGAAGGGGAGTGGGGAGAAGGAGGGAGAAGCCGTCAATCTTGTGCTCTGCGGTGTCAGTTGGTGTCGATTGAGGTGTCTGGAGCCACAGTGACGGTGACGAAAGCCGTCGCCACTTCGCTGGGTGACGACTCAACATTTGCAAATCGGTTCCTCAAGTATGCCAGCACAGCACACCGACCTACCGGCCAAACACACACAGTTGCATGTGTCTCAGGTATGACCCGCTGACTGTCGAGGTGCCCATCGAGTATGTGCAGCGGGTGGTGGACATAGTGGCGCGTGCACAGATAAAGGGGGCGGCCCCCACGGCGCTGGACGTGCATGGGGCGCAGGGGGAGCTGGCCCCCAAAGCATACCGACACGCACTCACCATGTAAGGGCGGTGTGTGTGTCTGGCAGACAAGGCTTCAAAGCCTCTTCTATCTGGTGTCTGCGCCAGGTATGGATTGGCTGCTGATCGCTTTTTGGGCCCCGCTGACGCACTCCTGACCACCGACCACCTGCAGCAGATGCGCGACTGGACGCCACGCTTTGCAAACCGTCCCAACATCCCTCCGTGTGTGGGCGAGCCGGTCATGCGCATATACAAGTGAGAAGGGCAGGCCAGACAGCTCCCCAGCATCCTGCCCATGTGTCTTGATGTGTGCGTCATGGCAGGGCGACTGTGGATGGCTGGAGGTGGTTGGATTTCTTCGATGCCGTCAAGGGCCACTCCCCCCTGCTGCTCATCTTCCGTGTGGCCGACGGCAATGAGCTCTTCGCCAGCCTCATCAAGGGGCCCATCGAGGTCACCGGGGCGGCCGAGACGAACGCAACACGATGGCCTTCAGCTTGAAGCTGCAGGGGACAGACAGCCACACATACGTGGGCTACATCGGCCGCACCAGAAAGATGTGCGTCGCGGGCACACAGGTGGGTACTCATTTGAACGAGCAAGGCAGCCAGTCATGGTGACAGTCTCTTGTCCATCCATGTGTGCAGGAGAAAGTCACCAACCTCCTCGATTTCTCTTCGCCTGCCTCCAGCCTGACTGCTGTCCTCTCGATGGCATGCTCCAGCTTTGGCGTCCGTCCGGCCGCCCAGCAGATATCGATCGGCGCACCAGCAGCGGCCAGCGATGAAATGATGAAGCGCTGCCAGGGGAGCATGCTGGAGGAGACTCAGCCCGACGAGTGGCGGCAGTGGCAGTGCAGCGGCCGATCGTCAGGCCGAGCGACTACGGTTATGACGATGGTGACAAAGTGTACCTGCCTGTGTCAGTGAAGGGATGGCACTTTGACATTGCTGAGCTCGAGGCGTACAAGCTGGCATGAAGGCGGGCTGGCAAGCGTGTCGCAGAGATGGAGGCCGTAGCATGACGATACCCATTGCGCCGACCGTGCTAATTGACAACTGTTGGCTTGTCTGACCATTGTCCAGGTCAGATGTGTGCTGCGAGCCGTCATCGATTGAATTAGGTTAGTCATTCGCAGTAGGCAGGCAGGCCAGCTCAAACAAGGCAAAAGTCACCGTACCACCTTCATCATAGTACATTCATTGACACCCAGACAGACACAGGCCCCCATCCCAGACACCCGCCAGGCCCCCACACAAAGACAACCACACGCATCCATCCATCCATCCATCCATTTCTGAATGCATCCCTAATTGAAGACTGGTCGACCACTCACAGGAGAAGGCAACCCAGGCCAGCCCCACCACGGCCCCTCTCACGTTGCGCCGTCCGTCCATCCATCCCCCGTTGCCGGCCGTTTCTCACAGCCTCTCCCTCCCGTCAATCAGTTCTCGTCGATGAAGACCTCGATGACGTTCATCGACGGCAGGGCGATCTCATCCCCCGGCGGCGTCAGGCACGCGTCCGCATCACCCCCCCTCATGTCCATCGACTGGTGCACCGCCACAAGCGCCGTCTCGATTGGCGGCTGCATCCCCACGGCCGCCCCAAGCGCCGCTGCAGGGCCACCTCTCTTCTGCTCGTCCGTGGCCGCCAGCATGTCGCGGTCCTCCATGGTGAGAGGCGTGTTGCGCGACTCGGCCCGTGACGCCACAGCCTGTTGCTGTGAGCCCATTGCTGCCGGGATCTGACGCACCAGCCGGCGATCGGGTGAGCTGGGCGACGGGGACGACTCACTCGCCGCTGGTGGGCAGCTGTCTGCTGCGGGCACCGTGTCTGGGCTGTCTGCCGCCGCGTCGTCACTCTGGCTTGGCTGCTTCTGGGGGACCAGCTGGGTCTGTGAGGGGGTGGGGGAAATGGTGATGTTGTCGTTGTCGGCCTGGCTGAGGCCCTCCAGGTCGCGCAGGTCCCGGCCGCCCTCGCTGCCCACCTCCACAGACATATTGGCGCTCGACTGCGTCGCCGCGCCGCCACTGCCGCCCTCGTAGCCGACGTACTGCGAGTCGCTCAGGGGCGGGGGAACCAGAGAGGTCGGCGGTCTGTCGCGGTCGCCTGGGGGTCTGGGGGGCGTGGGGGAGGGGCGGCTGGCGGCTGGTGGGAGGGAGGAGTGGAGGGACAAGGGGGGCTCCTGGGGGTGGGTGACAGTCACGTTAACGTCAGGGGCCTCTTCCAGGACGTCGGGGCAGTCGCTTGATGAAACATTCAGGGCGAAGGGACCCTCCGCATCTGGATCAGATCACCACACAAACGCAGCCACATCGACACAAATCCCATCTTATGCTCCATGGTAAACTGACCATCGAGTTCAAATCCGTCGATGTCTTCTTTGCGATCGAGGAAGTCCTCTGGCGGTAACACAAAGGGCGGCAGCATCCCGCAGTTGTGGCTGCGCGGCCCGGTCGGCCCGCCACCTGCCGCCCGCCGGTGATGGTGGTGGTGGAAATGACCACCACCGAGATGCGCATGACCCGACTCATCCGCGCTGGCTTCATGCTAACACACACACACACAGACAGACAGACAGACAGAGGTGGACGGGTTCGTTGTGTGGTGCTCTTCACACATATATCGTTACCACAACAATTGGTCTTGAGTTGTTGTTAGATCTGTTGAGGTCTTCTCTGCTGATGTCAGCCGATGACCCGTCGAGGCCGTTGGTGGGGTGTGTGGGGAGGGAGGGGACGTTGCGGAAGATCCGCATCTCGTACTCGTCTGTGCGAGGCTCATACAGGGTCGGCAGCTTGGGACTCCTGTAACCACACACACACACACACACACACACACAAGTAGGCGGTGGCCGCACGGCTGCAGAAGCGACCGAAGTTACCCAGGGTCGAAGTAGGTGGGCCTGACTCTCTTGCAGAGCAGCCGGAACAGATTGCCGCACGGACCCCTGCAGGCAGACACAGAGAAGGACAGATGGCAGCAAGATGCGCTGGTGTCTGGGTCTTTCCTGCGTGTGGGTAGGGTTCTTGCCTGTTGAACGGGTTAGAGTGGTCAACATAGAAGTTCTTGATCTGCTCGTAGGTCGTCTGGTTAGTCAAAATCTGACACACACGGACCGAGAGAGAGAGAGAGAGAGAGAGAGCACGGCACACACAGAGATATGGATGGTATCTCTGCCTCTTTCTCACTCATTGTGTCACATCTGTCAGTCAGTCACTACTTACCAAGTAGCTGTGGTAGAAGCACAAGCCGACGACAAAAAACCACGCCTGCCCCCACCCCACCAACACACACGCATCCCACATCTGCATCTGCTGCCCAAAGCATCCAATTGTCTGTCTGTGTGCCTGCCGACCGCCAAACAGTAGAGCATCAGGAGCATGGCGTCCGTCGCCAAGGCCCAGATGCCCTTGAACACTGCCAAGCTGGAATCCTGGACACATCCACACACACACACAACACACAGGGATGTGGGCCGATCTGTGTGTGTGTGTGTGTGTGTGTCGACGGCCCTTACGTGTTGGTCTTCGAGGTCAACGACGACGTAGTAGAGTTTGACGGTGCACGTTGCCAAGATGAACATGTCCAGCAAAGATACAGACAACACAAATAAGTAAAACGACCTGAACAAACACACCAGACAGAACACACAACGGACAACGGACAATGGATCAACGGCTGGATGGATGGATGGATGGCTGGGTGGACAGACGCAGGTCACTCACTCAACTGGCCTAGTGCACTCACTTGTAGTTTCGTTTGCCGACGCAGTTGCCCACCCATGGGCAGTGGTGGTCGAACCGCTCCACACAGTTGTCACAGATGCTGCAGTGAACCGCTCGGGGAGGCCGGTAGATGTTGCCTTCACACAATCACAACCACAACCACAACCACATCAGACCATCCCCCTCTCCCTCTGTGTGTGTGGTTACACATACACATACATGTGGTGCAGTATTTGACGCGTATGGGGTGGCAGTGGTAGACTTCGTCCTGGAACCGCGGCGGCGGCCGTGTGCGGAACCCGTGGGTGTCCTCGCCCATCTTCCAACGGTCGAAGGCGTTCTTGGCATCACGCTGACGCGGGATGATACCTGGGTCACGGATCGCCGTGCGCAGAAAGAAATACACTGTCAGCACCGCCAACAGGGCCGCAACCGCCGGCACCCATGGGTGGCCCTCACGCACGAACCACTGAGGGATGGCGTCACACACGGCACAGCACAGCACACAGACGGCAGTCGATAGATGGATGCGTCGTTCCCCTGGGTGGCTGGGGACTGACCGGAGTGGTGACGGCATGGAAGAGGATGTTTGGTAAGACGATCAGTGTCAGCGTCACGGCAGCCGTGCGGCAGTCGGGCCTGACATGACACAAACACACCAGACAAACACAAAACACACACCACAACGCAGCAGTGAGTGAGGGCGCCGGCGCGTTTGTTCCCAAGTTCTGACCCAGTGATGGCCTTGCCCTTGCAGAGCACCACGCTGTTGCCGAAGACCTTCTCGCCGCTGTCGGTATACCCCGACTTGCTCGAAGTCTTTTGAAGATCAGCCACACCGCCAGACGATGTCACTGGGCGCTCCCGGACAGACGTCATTGCCTCTTCCTTACCACCTGTCCCTCGCCGCTGCAACTGCGATGGCCTTGCCCTTCGACGCGCTCTACGCGGTCACCAGCCTCTTGGCGAGCAGTTTCACGGAATGTCCTCGCAAGCTCAACTGCGTCACGGTGCCTTTTTGCTTTCGACAGTGTGCCTGCGAGGCTGAGAGCATCCAAGTTTTTGGCGTAGCGTCTGTTTCGAAAGCGTTTGGTTGACCATGCCGAAGAACAAGGGTGAGCAGCCGGCACACACAACAACGCAGTAGAGAGAGGGTCACGACAGGACGCTCATGTGTGTCTGTGTATTGTGTTGCTTGTCAGGTAAGGGCGGCAAGAACCGCCGTCGAGGCAAGAACGAGAACGACGGGTGAGCAGATATCAGCAAGGGGAGGATCAACCGGTTTCCAGCAGATATATATGCATCTCTGCCGTCCTTGTCTGTCGTGTGGCCGTCAGGCTCAAGCGTGAGCTCACCTTCAAGGAGGACGGGCAAGGTAAGCTGAGCGCGGCGGCGCGGCGCACACCAGACAGAAGAGAAATGACTTTTTGTGATGTGATGTGTGTCTGTCGGTGTGTGTGTGTGTGTATCAGAGTATGCGTATGTGGTTCGTATGCTGGGTAACGGCCGGTTGGAGGCGCAGTGTTTCGACGGAGTCAAGAGGCTATGCCACATCCGGTCAGAGAGGGAGAGAGGGAGAGAGAGAGAGAGCAACACAGGCAGTCAGGGCGTCTTGCGTGTCTGTCTTTCATCCCCTCTCGGCCTGCGCTGCGCTTCTCTTCCACAGTGGCAAGATGCGCAAGAAGGTGTGGGTCAACACGGGCGACATTGTGCTCGTCTCACTCAGAGACTACCAGGACGAAAAGGGAGACGTCATCCTCAAGTAATGAATGACCATGCAACTCACTCAGGCACCCCCCCCCCCCACACA